CGTAGGGTTGACCCTGCCGTGCACTACGAATGAAGATTGCAAGTGTTACGGGTGTCTTTGCAGCAAAGAAGAAGCACTCTGCCTCGTTCCTCCACAAACACAACCCTCGTTCTGGCAATGGGGATAATCATACTAGTTTACCAATGTAAAAAGTCTAAGTGTGGATTTATTCAATGAATGCACTGTGTCTACTGGGACAACCTCCTCTTTTTTCTTCGACGAGTTTCACTTCGATATTTCTGGCTCGGTTTTTTTTTGCTAGAACTTCCCCTACACTTCTCCATAGATTTCGATGACGCTCAGGACATGCGCGTGAATCGGTCCTTCCGCCGAATACACATCATGCTGTGGAAATCACTCCTCAAAACTACAGCGGAAGTTCAAAGCTTTTGGTGCTGCTGTTGCAGAAGACGAAGTCAGAACCTATCTGAATAGTTCGCACTCACCACTTCTCGAATTCCATCCAGTGGTCAAGCATCCTCTACGGACTACTGTAACCGAGCTTCCGCCTTCTTTCACGGAGGGTGATTGGCACTTGGGATCGGAACGATTTTCGTCAGAACCTCACACATGCCTATTATCCTCCCCAAGAAGCGTTCTAAATTTATTCTCGCCGTCCAGATGACGTGGGAACCCTGTGGGAGTTCAAATGTGCGTAGGCCATTCCATCCCCACCAAATCACAGTCGACTACGTCACAGGATTCGAGCTGGTAAAGACGCACGAACACAAACAACAACATAGACATGTTGTGTATCCACACGGATGACACCTGCAGGCTACTGTCTCCAATGAAGCGATCAGAAGCATCGCACCTCTACTACGTAGGAGCGGTTTCAGTGAAGAAGGTTTGCTTTCAACTTATTAAAATTTGAACATTCGACCCGAGTGAAAAGAGTTACAGTAGAAAAAGCGTTCCACCGAAGAATTCTGAGCGATACTGTATGTGAGATATCGTGATAATTTGAGCGCAACGGAATTTGAAAGGGCAGTACCAAACTTTGTTGGTATGGTGTTGGATCCTGAGCGTGATGCATCGACAGTGAGCAAACGCCACGAAGTTGGCTACCCAAAAAAATTCCGATAAATGTGTTCGGCTTGTGAACACAGTGGAGAAGAATTCCACCAAATACTTTTGGGCGTAACTTTCAAAATAGCACAAATATTCGAAGGGAGAAAGACCTCCCATGCAACAAAGGAGTCTATTTTGGATAGCACACAGAATGGCAGTGCAGCAGAGCTGTTAAGCAAAAGAAATTGTAGTAGAACGAAAAGGTAGGCATAAGCGCATGAACACAAGACCAGTGAGTTGCTCAACGAAGGTATACCCCCACGAGAAATACTATTTACTTGAGCGCCACGCATATATGCGTGAAAACGGCTTTCTCTTTCCATACGCTTCATTTCGCCCAACAATCTAATACTTCGTCGTTCCTTGTTTTGCCTCTTCTACACGGCGGAATTGGCTTAGCTGATATCTAGTGAGATTCAGCATTATTTATATATTTAATGGGATTGAAACTCTAATTTCAAACTCGATGCCTGCTAAGGTAGCCTATTTGGAAATACGAATTAATGATTTGTTTTGGAAAACTCATTCAAGCTTATCCAAGAAACGAGAACTTGCTTGGCTGTGCTTGAAAACTGTGGAACCACGGGTGTGAAGAAATAAATGTACTAAAACCTGGGACGGTAGTAAACTAGCCAAACTTGCACGTTAACGGGCAGATTTAATGAGCACGTAACGTGGGGAGGTGCAGATTTTGGTGGAAGCAGCTCCCTGGTAGGGTCAGGGAAAATAGGGACGAGTGACACAAGGATAATTGTAATTCTGAGGCCGTGAGGCGCTCCTGAAGAGAGTCTGGAGCACATCCCCCTCTCCAGCGTATGATAGCGTACTTGGTTGAATCTGGTAGTACATGCCTGAAACGCGTGCCAGCTCCAGCCCAGTGAATACAAACGTTAAGTGTTCGTGGAAAATTTCCTATATTCATAAAAGGAAGCTAAACAAAACGAGATAGGGGTTGCGTTCAGACGCACATTCCAGAATACAGAGTGTCAAACGCCGACTTACATTATACGAAGTTGATACGTCGAAGCAGTGCGTCTTAAAGCAACAGTTCAGGAACGGTTTCGCGGGAAAAAACCACCAATAATGAA